CGCTTCCTTTAATCAAGGTCCACAGGCCACAACAAAGAAAAGATAACACCAGCCTGAGATGACTGTTTGTGCTATAGAAGTCAGAAGTGGAACAAGTATCAACTCAATCGAGACACGGGCATGCACTAGCCTTTCCTTCCCAGAGATTATTCCAGTGAATTGCAGCTGGGTGATCAGGCCCAACAAGCAGGTTTGTTCTGCAGTCATCCACCCTCGCAAAGCATGATCGTGCTTTGTGTAGCCTGGTGCGGAGTGTCTTCCTGATAATAAAACTCCAGGCCCTTTTCTTGGTGATTCACTGAGAACCTCAGAGAAACTCCTGGATTTTATCCTTAATATTTCTTTCATAGCTTCTTGATACAACGTATGCTGCCAGGAAGTTAATTATGTTTAAGGTGTTTTAACTATCCACTCTAAATTTGTAGCCAAATAGATCTCAAACCCTTATTGTGATGTTCAATATACATCCCAATTGAAAACCATCATATATATTTTAATGGTATCTCCATTTTAAAACATCTATGCATATTTACCAATAATGCAAGAAAGAAAAATAATAGTCCTTGATTTGACTTACAAGGCTTTTCTTTAAAAATCTTAAATGAGAATTTATAAATATTTCAAGTGTCTCATTTTCATATCTAAAATGGAAATGGTCTGTGACCTTTTCTAGGGGTGGGTATAATATATACTTGAGTTGCTCAGATGTAAGCACTGGAGCGTATGGTCACTCTCGTTCTACACAGTCAATGCCTCCTTCCTCTGATGCAGCCTTGCACCTGACACACTTCTGCTTGACCTGACCGCAAGGCATGTCCTGATGTCATTCTGCACTCTTCTGGTTTTCTACACACTCGTCTTTGTCTGTCATACATCTTTCCTCCATTTTTATGTCTGTCTTGGCATATCCCTGTTCTTTCCATTAAAAAATATTTAATCCACTATAGTGCTTTAGTAAGACAGTTTCTTTGGTTAACTCTGATCAGAATCTTGATGTCTGCTTGGTGGAATCACTGGGAAGAAATGGAAGCATGAAAGAAATGAGGAAATAGAAGCATGCTAAACATGTGAAAGATGTTTGAAATGACCCTTATTTTGTCGGAAGCTAACTGTGTATAATAAAAATCTGACTTAATTAGAGTCATCTAATTTGAATTTCTGTAATTTTTATTGTTTTCAGGAGAAACATGGTAATTGCTATTTCCACTGTGTAATGCTCTGCCCTGAGATACATTGTCCTGATGAATTCTAAATATTATGCTTTTGGGTAATTAGAATACCTCTGTGTCACTTTTGTCTTTTATTTCCATTATTTTGCTTTCAAGAAAAGTAAGATATAAGAAAGACTGATATTCCAGCTGAGCAAGCTCTAAATCTAATCGATTTAGATTGACTCGATATAACTTGTCACCTCTGAAAGACACATATTGATCCTTAAAACACAAATGATAAGTTTATTTCCTCAGAAAACACATGTACACTCATTTTTCTTTCTTTTACTAATCTCTCTTAAAAGTCATTTTAAATTATGTGTATGCGTGTGTGTGTGTGTGTGTGTGCGCGCGCGCACGCGCGCGCGCGCACACACGCGCGTGAGCATGTGAGAACAGTCTCTGTGAAGGAGTGAAGAGGGGTTTGGTCTTCGGGAGCTGTTGCTAATGGTGCCTGTGAGCTGTGGGACTTGGGAACTAAGCAGGGAACTAATGGATTCTCTGCACAAGGAGACATGCTTTTAGCTACAGAGCCTTCCCTTCAGCCCCTATACCATTAAATTTTTAAAGATAAGTTTTACTTTTTGAGATTATGATATAACTAGACTATTTCCCCCTTCCTTCCCCTTCCCTCATAACCTCCCATGTGCCCCCATTCTCTCTCAGATTCATGGCCTCTTTTTCTTTAATTGAGTGTGTGTGTGTGTGTGTGTGTGTGTGTGTGTGTGTGTGTGATTTCATGTAAATGTGTGTATAAAATTTCCTAAATATATAATTATAACCTCTCAGCCTCTATAATTTTAACTTCTGTGTATGTTTCCAAGGCTGGAAGGGCTTCTCTGAAGAAGACTCTCCAACTCTCAGCATTCCTTAGTTGCCTGTAGTTCTTTGTCTAGGGTTGAAGCCTCATGAGCTTCCCCTGTCCATTTTGGTTGTCTATTGGTTCCATTCTTGTTCAGGTCCTGTTTAGGCAGCTATACTGGTGAGACTTCATGGATGTGGCTTCTGACATTTCTAGGACACAACCTCACAGAAAACTCCCCAACCCTTCTTCTGCTCCGATCCCTGAGCCTTAGGTGTTGGAGTTGTGTGTAATAGGTACCGTTTTTGAACTAGGCTCCACAACTCTGCATTCCAATTGGTTGTGGTTTTCGTTGATGGTCTCCATCTGTTACAAAGAGAAGTTTTCCTTCTAAGGGAGGACTATGCTTGTCTGGCTTTGCCCCAGAGAAGATGTCTTTTATTAACTTTAATAGTTACCTCGCAAAAGAATAAGTTTTATTATAGCATTTTCATACTGCGCACTCCATGTTAAGATTTTAGATGAGCTGTTTAGAGTCTTCTTGCATATTTGAACCTGTCCAGCGAAAATGTCTTTGCAAATGTGTCTCTAAAATGTTCATGAAAATATCGATATTTCATGGGCAGAGAGCTATGGGGCCAGTTATCAGGGTGACTTTTGATATGACTATGTGAGATAGTTCTCATCCTGACTATATTTGATCATTGATAATGGGTTTGTGAATGGCTGTCAAGCAAGCACCTCTTTGATGAAGGAGAGACTGTTGATGCAGGGCATTTTCTCAGTCAGCAACCCAAACGGAAGCCCTGCTGCTGCTTATTCTTCCGAGTATTGCTTTCTATGCATTTAGAGAGAGAAGAATGTTACTCCAGGTCACATCCTCAGGGTTCTTCAGAGAGATGACATCACTGCTCTGGGCCTAGGTGTCCTCATTGGTGGAATACACGTCCCTTAAAGAGTTTGCCTTTTGTTCAAGTAATCTGTCATCATTTAGTGTTGTGTGCCCAGAAGAGATCTCACCACTGTATCTTGGGCACCAAAAGCTATAATTTAAACCTACACATTTGTTCTAAAATCAGAAGCTTCAGGAAATGGAGAAAGGTTGTTGAGGAATACTGAGCGAAGGAGAAGAGAACCAAGTAGGAAGCACCGCTAAGTGAAAGAGCAATGTGAGAACAAAGCAGAAGGAAGTTGAAAGAGCCCCGAGAAGGGAGCGTGGAAAAGGCAGTACTTACAGAGGTGGTCCTAGCAGTAGCTCTTGACTTAGAATTTTTAAATGTTTGCAGCACAGAGAACAAATTCAACACAGAGTGAGCGTCCCAAATTCTGCTTTCAAATAAGCGAAAAGTCCTCTTCTGTTTAAGGATTCAGAAGAGGCCAGCCTCTGCATTCATGGACAACACATGTAAGAGGAGCAATGATTATTTTGGCAGATGTACGGAGTAACTTTAGTGAAGCTTCTGTAAAGACAGTAGAAAGGAAACAGCACATGATAACCATTCAACAGGCTTGTGACAATAAAGGGCTACAAAAAAATGTATGTGTCGAAGCAGGCAGGTTAAGCAGCTGTGGCTTATACTGGCTCACTGGCCAGTGCCTGACTTCACCATGGAACCCGACAATGTGCTGAAGAGACACTGCAACAGATCTCAAAATTCTAAAGGGAAAACATACTTTTAAAATATAAGTGCTTTAAAAGCAAGAAAGGAAAATAGCAAAGACTTAAAAATGTAACAATTTCCCTACAGTGTCTGCTGCTACAAAATCATGGCCTGAATGTTTTTTCTTTTTCCTTTTGTTTTGATGAATGAGAAATTTAGACACAGCGCCATACACACAGGGAAAATGTCACGTGGCCCCTGTAATAATGTAGCACAGTGAGAAACTACAGAGAGCTGGGGAAAACAGCCCCCAAAGAAGGCTGGCCCTACTCAAGCACTGATTTGGATCTTTGCCTCCAGAACAGGGAGACCATACATTCTGCTTATAAGCTACAGTTTCCTGTCTCAGTTACAAGAATCTTGGAGAGTTAATATAAAGAGTGAGAATGGAATATGTTTTGTGATTTTTTAATGGCCCACATAAATGGGAAAGGCATAACTAATGAAAGCGGAATTGAGTATGAGGAAAAGAAGACACAGTGGATTGTGGCTGTTTCAGAAGACGGAGAAAATGCAACCCAGAGATTCGGGGAATGACAGGAGAGGGAGACCAAGCATCTCCCAAGATTAGACATAGACCTCAGTGAGGGCTCAAAGATGTCCTTAGGCCAGGGAGAAGAACCTCCGGAAGTTTATGTTGATGCTTCAGGGAATTCAGGGACATCATTATGTTACACATCAGAGGGTACTAGTAATAAATTAGTAAATAAGTGCTGTGCATAATGCAGTTACCTAAGAGGGGGAAAAACAGATGACAGATCTCATGATGAAGTTAGTAATGATTAAATTAAATTCTAATGACACTTAAAACAAATTCTGTGGGTATCACATATCATTTTCATTTAAATAAAAAACAGAGTTAGTGTTTACTAACCCATGTTTTTTTGAAGAATAGCGATACCTATTTCCTGTATATCTCCTAGATGTATTGCTTATGATCACTTTGATATGAGTAAACATTTCATGAACAAAAATGGAGCACTAACAAGCCCATCTTCCAGAGTGAGACAAAGAGTTTCTGTGCACTTCCTTTAGAGAACCACCTTCCCCCCAAAAGGTCTCTGGAAATGTAGTGCTTCAAACTTGAATAAACTTGTTCCTGCAAAGAACAGCTTCAAAGACATGCTTTCAAAAGTATAAAATTCTGAGTATTTTTTAAGTGAAGACACAAAAAAATTTTTGGTATGGCTTAAAATTAAGTCAATGAAGAAGGAAAAGGAATATATCTATCTGTGAGCCTGGTTCTTATGCCAAACTTCTTAATTCACAATAACTATCCAGAGACAGAAACTCAAGAATATTAATATTAAAGTATTTCAACATTACCCTCCAAAAGAAAGACTGCACAGAGAAGTGAGATCCAAACACTTCATTTTCTGAGAGTTCCTATAAACAAACAAATATTTAGCTAAATTTTGAGATGTTTTTGAGAGTACTTAATTACTATCAAAATCAAAACAAAATCAAAGCAAACTGAAAGTTGAAAATTATACATCCCATCCAGACCCTTTGGATTTAGAGAAAGTAGAGTTTCTCCTCTTGAGTAGATGATTGTCTTTGTCGTCTTCATCCCTTACATCCCCGAAGACAAAGAGTGAGGGTGTTTTCTGTATTTTTAAGAGTTCACTTACCTTTTTGTTCTTAATGCTCATTAATGTACCTCTGAGTCTGATGTTTCATGACAGAGCATATAAATACTAAAGCACATCACACAATTTTAAAATAAAGTAGACAACATTGTTTCTTTTAGTAAAACAGTTGTGCTAATCATAGACTATGAGATCGTTTAAAAATACAGAAGTAGAAATCTTATTAATAAAACATGTACCTAGTTAAATTCTTTACAAGATTTCTCAAATTTGCTGGTATGATACAATATGTACAATAAATACAAAGCAAATGTCTTCACTAACTTGAGTTCTAAACTACATCCTCAGCCCTAATCAATTACATTTTAATAAGTTTAAATTACTCTTTTTGGACTGTACAGTGTTCTAGTCTGTCCTTGTGTATCAGTTACAATGAAGTTATGGGATGTTGATAAGAGCTTGGGGACAGTTCAGTTTTGACACTATCATGAAGAGGACGCAATCTTACTATGCCGTCTTTTCTATTATTTTGTGATAACAACTAGGATTATAATGGTCCAGTATCTTACATCATGTCCAAGGCATAGTAAGTACTCAATAAATTTTGTTAACCGACCAAGTAGTATTTGATTAAAATCATATGTTTTTACCAAACATGAAAAAATAAAGTAGAAAATAATATTTAATGTTCTGGAGTATTTTTCAATTTGCATAATTTAAAATTAGACAGAAATGCTTCACAGATGACGATGTAATTTAACCAAATACATTTCTTAATGCAACAAATTATGATTTCCCAAGTTCCTTGCTTAGAGTTTGGTCAGGTAGCAATGCTTATGGCATAAATCATCAAGAAAAGGTTTTTCCTCTAAAATATCATTTGATCAGTAATAAAGGGTTATGATTTGTTTATTTTACATTTTATAGTTTTCAAGTCACACACTATCAGAGTAGAATCTAAGCAGCAAAAAAAATCCTTTTAAAATTACACTTACATTTCAACTGCTGTCTTTCTTGATACCATATTTTTAAAAGATTATTCTATATCTTAAATTACAAATCAATTTCAATTTATTCATGTTTTTATTAAGGGTGTGTGTGTGTGTGTGTGTGTGTGTGTGTGTGTGTGTGTACTCAGTACTTTTCCATTATCTTGTGGGACCTGGGAATTGATTACAGGTCATAAGACCTGTGGGACTGTAACCTTTACACATTGAGGCATCTCTCTGGTTCATTATTGTATTATTTAAATTAAAGAATCTTCTGGATTTTAGAGAAGTTTCATGCTTTCTTTTTAATTATCATTTTTCTTCACTTTGATTTATAAATAGTTAAGTAACTGATCCACACGTTTAGTAGCACATGAGACAAAAGTATAAACATCACGTTCCAATATCATCACATTTGAACAATTAAGGATGAGATTCTAGCTGTATAAGAGGTTTCACTCTATGAGTTGAGGCAGTATCAAAAACCATGCATCCAAGTGAGTTTAAATCGTAAGGCATAATGTGTTAATTAAATGCAGATGAAAGTTTTAAGTTTTACTTCTAAATCCAGCATAAAGCAAACATTTAAAGGTAATATTAGCTCATTTAAAGCTTTAGGTAATCTTATGTTGACTGACTCTGAAGCTGTACTAATATTACTTTCTAGTCTTCCTCAGGTAAAAGCAGAGGGTATTTACCCTATTGTTGGCTTAGTATACAAAGAAAAAAGCTATTCATGAATTGGGGGTTGGGAGTTTTTAATTATAAAGATTTAAGATTGAAAAACATAACTATTAGATACATTTAGATCTACCCTAGTCCCTAGGTTGTACTTTTTAGGCCCAACCTAGTCCCTAGGTTGTACTTTTTATGCCATGTTTAATTATTTTTATCACTTATCAGCTACAATTTTTAGTTCATTTTACAACCCACATTGTTGTGTAAATTAAGGCCTTTATTTCAAGTGAAACAGTTTAATTTTCATGTGGCTTCTAGTGCCATTTATTGCTCTGAATTAATATGAAATTTGCAATAGAACAAGCCAGGCGTAGTTATTATTGGTAACAACAAAAACAGTAAGAAAAAATAATAACAATAGCAACATTAATAGCAAAGAAAATAATCATCACAACACCAATAACAACAAAAGTAACACCAATAACAACAACAATTAAGGCAATAAATGCAACAATAAACAATAACTACAGTGATAAGTATAATAACCACCACAATAACAATAGCACCAGCAACAGCAACACAGTGCTGGCATTATGATGAGTCCTGAACAATAGTACTGATGTTAATCTGGAAAACACAAACCAATTGTGATTCGGGAGAAGCCTTGAGTCCAATCATCATGTACATATTAAGTAACACTTCCGTGTGCAACAAGAGCTGACAGTGAGGAAAAGCAGCAGTATGAGGGTGCTTAAATTATAAATCAACTGTTAAAGAAAATTGAACACAAACACAGACATCAGCTTGATAAAAGACAATCGGCAAAATTGCCCTAAATAACGAATGCCTGAACTGACTCTCTTGTGTTTTTCAATCTATCACACTGCCAAGAGCCATTCTTCTGTACTATTTAGGACTAGTTTTCCTTCACAGTATTTTTGCACTATAAATAAATTTCTTCTCAAAGATGAAAAATCAAACTGTAAGTCTAAAATTTAATCATAGTTTTAAAAGCAAAAATCTAAAAGATAATTTTTTCTTCAAAAAAAAATAAAAGTGCAGTTTACCTAAAAATTGAATATGATAATAATTTTTAAATTGTACATAAAATAAATCAAAAAATCTTTTAAGATTTTGTTATCAGTTGGGATGAGGATTAACTATCAATCTTTAAAGTGATATTTTACAACTAGATCAGTATATAGATCCTGAAACATAATTCACGTTATTATAATGTGGGCGCCATGTGCCCTGGCCCCCGACTGTGAGTGGCTGCCGCCTTGTTTGCTGACCTTGAACAGATGTCCTCCCTATTCAGATTCCCTGCTGGTCTCCTTCTCACCTAAGGATCACCGGAGAGCTTACTGGAGGTTCTTTGTTCCTACATCCTGTATTTGGTGTAAACAACTTAGGTGCATTCTGTATTTGGTGTAAACAACTTAGATGCAAGAATGTAGAACATTGGGTCTAGAATGTAGACCATTGGTAGCGAACTTCTGCCCTCCAGGGATCCTCCATTTGTGTTGTAAGCCTGTACTTAAGGTTTCTTCCCTCTTTCAATAAACGGCATTCGGCATTCAGCCATGGCGAATGACTCGCTGTCTCTTGTCTCTATTTTTAATCCGCAGCCCTTTGCTCGGACATGGTGAACGGGTATCGGTAATGCGGGCGTTACCGCTACATTATAATGTGGGAATTCTTCAAGAGTAAAAATAGTCACAAGATAAAAGATGAACCTGTGACCCTAAAACTCATGTGTCAGAATCAAGTCAGCAATCTAGATTATATGAACCTGTTTTTATATGTACATGACAAATTTCTTTTCATTGGTGCTATTTTGGACATTTAAGAGATTGGAAATATTTGTAAATTCTTATGCAAAACAGTTACATAAAATTTCCTGGTCAGATAATTATTGTTCATGAAGGTCAAGGTCACGGGACGCCTCCATCCTGTCAAAAAACAATGACTAAGAATATTGACTTTTGAATAATCATGTCAACTAGGATTTTGGTAGTAAAGTCTTTGCAAAATTATGCATTATTTTCATTTGAGTATTTAAAGTAATTCAAATGAACAAATTATCTATCATCTATTTATCTATCATCTATCTGTCTGTCTGTCTGTCTGTCTGTCTGTCTGTCTGTCTATTCATCCATCCACCGTCCACCTACCTACCATCATGATGCCATACACACCTCTGTGTCTGCCTTCTGCTCTATTAAACTGGAGTCTGATACATTAGTCCCCCTTCTAATCAGCTCAAGAAGGATCATGGGGAAATTGGTTGGTATGTGTTAACACGTCTCAGAAGCAAAGGTCAATTGTCAATCATGCAATGAATATCTTAGATGTGGGGCACAAGCTTGGTGGGTTCCATCTTGTGCTTTGGGGTCCATTTTATCCCTTGAATTTAAACCAGATCATCTATATTTACTCTAGAAAGAGCAACAACATTTATAAGTTCATCAAAAGCAGTCAAATAAATGTAATGTCACGGTTATAGCAAATCTCTGTCATTAGGAATTAAAATATATAAAATATAATTTTTTGTCTACAGGGAAATATTGTCAAAACATCTAGGAAAAATCATTTCAATGTAAGATCTAGCTATGCCTTCTTGTACTTTGTGGGATAATCAAATATCATGCTAATATATAATATTTATAAAATAAATAAACTTATTACAAATGTAATAACTGTGGTCCAAATACCTGCTGTATTTGGACACCTCATTACTGTTCACCATTGTTTATTGTTGGCATTTTAGAATCCCAGAACAATTAATTCTGATATAATATAAGATATTGTTTTATAGCATTTTTTAAAGGATTGGTAACAAAAATACAGCCAAAGTAAGGCATTATAAATAAAAGTTTGTTTCCTTAAAAACACGTAAACATTTCCCATGTTCAAAGACATGTGCATATAATTATAAATGTTATACTAAAGTAAAAGCACTGTGATCACTCACAGCTGAGAAAGTCTCCTACGAAAACTTTCATTTTTTTACAACCTTTTTCTTTTCTTTATAGTCACCTGTTTATCAGCAAGTGACGTCTTAGTAGAAAGACCCCATCACTGTTAACTAATATCCTTTTCATCATGCTTGACTGTGTGTGATACTTAAAAACGTGTTCATCTGTTTCTGTCCCCTTACTTAAAGCACTTACAAGTCATTGATGCATTTTTAATGTGTCCTGCAAGGTGCCAGTTTAACTATGCCCTGCAGTCTCACAGAGCTCAGTGTCCCCAGTTTAAATTAATGATATTTTTGCCAGAAGTCTTATTAAAATTGCTTCATTCAACCAATGGGTAAAGTGTTTCATATTTCATTAAAATCATGCTAAGTGATTACTATAAAAATCTTTATAAGAAGATCTGTTGCTAAAAGTGATGTAGGCTGTCAAATAACAGAAGGTCTAGTAATGAGATACCACTACAATAATCTACATTGTATTATTCGAAGGACAGAATTTTAAAGAAAACAATTAAAAATTGTTATAGTTAGGATTTTGACAAGTGTATCTCTGTATGGTTACAATATTATTTTCTTTTTCAAAATATTTTGATTTGCTCTTTTTAAATTTTACACATGCATATAACATATTTTAATCCTCATCACCCCTTCACTATCTACCTATCTCCAGCTGCCCCCAGAGCCTCCCCAAACACATCTCCCTCCCAACTTCGTGTCCTCCTCTTCTTTTTTTTTTTAATTACTATCTCACAGACTCCAATTAACATTGGCCTAGATGCATGGGCGTGGCCATGCGCTCAAGTATGGGCAACCTATCAGAAGCCACACCTACAAAGAAAAATGGCTGTCACTCAGAAGTTGTCAACTGCCAGTAGCACTTCAGCTAAAGGTGAGGCCCCCTAAAACAGTATTTTTAAGATAATTGAGGTAATTTATTGAAAACATACATTTTTTTTATTTAAAATAAGCTCTCACTATGTACTACAGGTTGATTTGAAATCATGATTCTGCCTCATCCACCAACATGCTCAACAGTAACTTGTTAATTATTACTCATCCTAACCAGAAATACACTCTCCTCTGGGTCAAGCATAGGCATATGCAGCACTTTATAAACTCCGAGCCAGCCAACAGAGACAATTATTTCATTATTTCATTTCCATTTTTGTTTTGATCCCACAAAATTTATTTACAAAATATATATAAATCTTCTCTTTTGAGCTCATGGAATTTTCTTGATGAATAATTTAACCTCAAATGAATTATCAATGATAGGTTTCTCAAGACATCACAATCTCTCTGCCAAAATGTATTTTATCACATAAGTGTAACTCTTTGACCTAGATAAGTACCTAGTTGTCTGAGTTTGGGTAGGTGTTGATTTTCTTTTCTTCCACAATAACATTCTTTTATTACAGATAAGTGTGAAAGAGAATTTCAAGTGTACATGACGGAAAGTGTAGTTAGTTGGTAACCATAATGATTGTTCCTGGATGCTACTACACCTAGAAGAGGAGACATTGTGGAATTTGCTGTTTACTGATCTGTATGCAATTGAAATCTAGCCCATATTTCTATATCTTGCTCTTCACTGATACATGTTTTCTACTTCTTATAAAGTGATAACAGTTGGATTTCTAATAATAAAGAGCTTGTCTTGAGTAACATTCATGATGCCCCTGTCTTCTGGTGCACAGTACGATTGTTTCAATAGTATATACTGTCTCAGAGCATGTGAGTACCACAACTAATTCAATGAGAGAATCTATTGGCAGAAGTGTAGTGAATAGCATAAATAAAACATGAATAAAAAACCTTATCACATAAAGTGAAGATAGTGAAGTGAGAAACAGGTATTTGGATGATAGGAAATTCTACGAGCTATTTCACCTTATGTACAAGGGAGATGTCCATGTTACAAAAGGACCATCAATGTAGTGACTCTCCTGTGTAGTTAGATTACTTCTGAAAGAGATCAAGACAAGGAAAGAAAGCCCCAGCCACAGACAGCCTTGAAAAACAATGTTTGACTATCTGTAAGTCTTTATTAGGAAGGTTTTGATTCTCGGATCTTTTCACTCTTGGTGCTCAAAGACAAGTTTCATATTCAAGTCCTGCCCTGACAATGACAGGAGATTTCATTCCTGTATGCTGCGACTTCAGAGAAGAAAATTTGTGTCTACAGGAAAATCCAATGGTGAGCACAATTGTATAGTATAAAAATGACTACTAAAAATACAAGTGATTGTATTTAAGTGTGATTCAAGCATCTTCTCTCTAGATTCTCTTTATTAAGACATAGATTTCAAGGGTGAAGAGCGCAGCAGTTAGAAGGGAAGAACATTTCAGTGAAACAGGAACACATTCCGTGCGCGCGCACACACACACACACACACACACACACACACACACACACACACACGCACACACACGCACGCACGCAGCCTGCTAGCCTCTCCCTTAGTTCTTAGATGCCACTGCCTGGAGGAAAGATTCAGAAACAGCGCCAACTCAGGGGAGGGTGTAAAGACCTACAAAGTAGGTAATAATTAGAAATGTGAAATTTTCCATGGATTTTTTAATATAACACTGTATATTTATAACACTATCTGGTGAATATGGACAGTGTTTTAAGGCATAGTAAAAATCTGAATGAATTAACAAGTGCTCATTATGTTCTCATAGAAAAAACAAAATGAGTGAACTGATTTTTAACTCACTCAGCATTTAGAATCACTATGAAAATGTACCAAATTGAAAAATCCCTTAATCTAATATTAACACCTGTACTAAATATAATCTGTCAATTATTCAAGTGAGGGCTAAATTAGATACAGGTATTTTGCATCTATACTGGCAAACTTTCAGTGTTTAAAATGATGGTTAATTATAAAACACCAAGAATTATATATGTAAACATTATGGAAATAATATATTTGTTATTCCTTTACATTTTTTATAGATTCAAAGAAATTATGTGGATTTATTTTTACTTTATCATTAAGATTAATTTAAACAAATTAAAAGGCTTATAAAAATCTATCTAGCATCTATTGATCTATCTGAATATATGTTAAAATGATTCTTTTTCTGCAGCCAGGTCTGGCCTTTAATTCTCTCCCCTCAGTCCCTGAAATGCTGGGATTTCAGGGATTAAGTGCCCCTCGATATACACAGTCAAAAAAGATACTTCTATTCTCTCTTTTGTATTTCAATGAAATAGATTACTCATATTAATTAATGCCAAATACAATGTAATATCCAGTTCTAGTTAAACTCATTTGGAAGATGAATACTGCTGACTATCCACGGCTTAGTAGGTTTTTACACAAAAATAACATCATAGAGTCACAGGATGGGGAAAGTCTTATGTACATTTTAAAATCAACACACTTAACATAATATTAAAGCACAGTTACAAAGATAAACAATTCAATCTTTTCTTTTAAAAGTCACTGATTTTGTTTAGTGAAACCACAGTGGACATGCACCTTCTCCAGTATGTGCTTTTTGAGTGCCGTTCTTTCGGTGAGTTATGTCTTGGTTGTCAGTATGAAAGAACTGGGGGGTAACTCACTGAATATGAGAAGTAAGACATCACAGCAGCCATAAAACAATACTTAGTATGCATATTTTCTTAATTCCCAGTAAAAGGAAAGGAAAATGATGAAATTGAAAAAACTTAAATAACAGCATGATTTGATCAGAATGGAAAAAGAAAAACTGCCAGTGTTCCAGGGTCTAAAAAAATCAGAACTATTAAAAGCAATATTGACCTTTTAAGTAGAAATTTGAATAAATGTCATTTTCACCAAGGAAATCTGTTTAATTTGTTTCAAAGTACAGTCAAGTAAAAGTTCAGTTTCATGATAGTTATTTATGCTCAGGACTGGTGCCATCATCGAGGATACTAACACCACCAAAGATACTGTGTCTTACATAGGTACATACAGAAAGCTCAGTGCGTTTCTGAGGTCACCCTCCTCTCATTCTGGAAGTGAGACAAGGGGGAACTGTCCTCAGGTTGTAATGACACCAGGACTTTCGAGTTTAGAAGGCCCAATACTCAGTTTTCTGTGAACAAACCCAGGAAGTTTCATGGCTACTTCTGTCTGGAGCTGTCCCTGCCCGGGTATCATCACTTCGTCCTGGAGCAGAGTGATTTTGTAGACCCTGTTGTGCACATAGTGGAGACCGGATGCTGAGAATGAGGCTGAGGAGTGACTGGAGAGCAGCAAGACAGCGGTCTGAGTGCTCTGCAACAGTGAGGTTCTACTTAGAAAGCGTCCTAGGATGGGCTTAAAGATCATGGGGGGAAAGAGCAACTGGCAGTGATGGAACTTTGTGGTACAGCTCAGAAGAAGATGAGAGGAATTTGGTAAAGCGGCTAAGAGTCTTCTCAACAAGGAAAGCTGAAGATCACATGCTAAGAATTACCTTACTGGATCTTTTCCAACTCTTCCTCATTAGCATTGTCTGTAAATGAAATAAAGTACTTCATTATCTTTCACCCAGTACAGAGCAGGACAGCCATTGTTTTTAGGGGATATGTAACACTTATTAGTCCTTTAAATAGCAAAATGTTTCCAGCAACAACAACAACACACACACACTCACACACATGCAGGGTGAGGGAAGGTGGGGGGAGGGGAGAGAGAGGGAGGGAGGGAGAGAGGGAGGAAGACAGGGAGAGAGAGAACCTTTAACTTTCAGGACGCCTCTTTCTGCTGAGAGATCACTTGCATTATTCTTTGTATGAAGAGGTGAGACAGTGTATTTTAAATATAGAATTGGGATTAGTTAATTCTAAATTAAAAATACAAATTGAGTTTCATGATTTATAATTGTCCCTTTTAAAGGTGAGAGTTGAGGGTCACTTGACTTAATTAGGTATATAGCATTTTTTCTTCAACCTACATCTAAAGCATGCTGCTTTGGCCACATTGTAGAAACATTTCTACATTTAGTTATTTTTTTTAACTGTATCGTTGTCTACAATGTTTCCAACTCAGAAAAGGCTGCTTATTTTTTTTAACTAAAATGTTTCCTTTATAATATTCTGTTTATGTCACAGTGAAAGGTTAGCTTGGCTACATGTTTTAATTAAGTTTCTGGAGATTTGGTATCAGTGCTTAAGGTTATTGGTCTTTTGTATTTGTATTTGCATAAGTAAAACATAAAGCTCCCCCCAAATTTAAATAATTCTCCTATTTACTATTAAACATTTCCCTTAAGCATCTAGATGTAAACCTTCCTCTTTGCCATACCATGTCCTATGGTTGCCTTTAAGGCAGATGAAGAGGAAAGTGGAGAGTGTTTGGAGGGAAGACTGTGGCTTCTAGAAAGCTTGCCATAGCTGTGTTGGGGAACTAGATCAATGTCAAGAGCTCCATCTCTTTTATTAGAACTCACTATGAAGAAGATCCATTCTAGAAAGCACTCATGCCTCATGAAAATACAGGACAGAAAGAACTTTCACATAAGACCACACCATTCTTTGACCTAAAGGGGGAGAATGGAATTACGGAGCAACTTCAGAGTAGGAAATAGGAGAATGGTAACATTCCCAAAGACATTACTTTTGTTTTCTCTATTGACCCAAACATGAAAGAGTAACAGATTTTCAAATGTTATAAAAATCCACCTCCCTGGTTTTCAATCAGAACCAGGAAACAGCAAAGCATTGTTATCAAATACTACAAAAAATAGTTTATATTTTCTAACTGCTAAGGTCCAATTCATTTTGAAGCAACACATCCAACCACTAGTTTGGAGACACAGACAGGGTACACACCTAATAGACTATTGATGTTAGGTGAGTGATTGCCATTACGACCTAATCATCATCAACAATAATAACATGATCACCTCCTCCATATCACCAAAGGTCATGTGCAACCAGATTCTTCAGTGGTTAGCCATATCCATAAGAGCTCCCCAATCAAGAGTCCAACAATAAATGTTTGAGTTTGTCTCAATGCATTTGATCATGGCAGTTTCTAGAGACAACATTTTGAGTCAAAACAACTAAAGAAGTAAAGATTAAAATACCTTAACTAGTGGTCATTTATCAACATCATTAAGCATCTAAGGATCCTATAAAATTGATTCCATCAGAAGTATTGGGCTATGAAAGCAGGGTGAAACGATGAAGAAGGGTGGACTATCGTGGCAACACGTGACAACATTTAGGGACACGTGCTTCTGACAGAGGAAAGGAAGCAGTGCACGTGATTAACTTCTAACACAGAAAACAAAACAAAATATAGCTCTGGCTTTTTCATGTCTCTCAAATTTTGGTTGTATTTTTCAAACTGGGAAGCGAATACAAGGAAACAGCCATGATTTGGCAGCTCCAGGGCCAGTTCCTTCTCTTGAGTCAGTGTCAGAAGTTCTGCTGTGGATCAAGCGACTGTCAGAATGGTCTCAAATTTCATAACAAAAATTCTGCTTTGTTAGCCAAAACTGCTAGCTTATCAATTGGCTAAACGCCCCCACAAAAGTTCTTTTTCCTTTTGTAAGTACTTGGGTTAAAGAAGGCTCAATTATAATAATTCAGTAGAAAAGTTTAAAAAATGAATTCAATAGATAATTAATATTGCTATCTTTACTAACTATGAGATCTATTAAAGAAGAAAGGTTATTTGGGGAATGTTAAAGATAAAAGACAAAGTAAATTCTGGAAATATAAGATTTAAATTTTGCTCCATGATTGTGAGTTTGGCAGAGAAACATATGAATTAGATTTTCAAGGAGTCGGTGTCTGTTACTACTGTACATTAGGTTCTTCATTAGCAACTCAGTCTTCCTTGAAGCCAAAATAAGGAGTAAGTGATATAAAAATGTGGCCAATGATAGGTTTGTAAAAGCAGCTACTTTAAAAAGATTTAAAATCTCATTTTAACTTCCTTTTGTTATGATTTTTAGTATATTATTTGCTAATACGCATACAAAAAACGTACAGAACAGATAGTATACACATCTTATAAAACATATACATTCAACACTTCATAAGGAGATATGTCTTTAAACATTGTATAAAAGTTATGACATCAAAGTTAAAATAAGGTATAAAAATTGTTTGTTTAACTCATCAAAGGCCACCTAGTATCAATTAATATGTTTCTAGGGATTTTCTAATTTTCAACCTAAGCCAAACAATGCGTAAGACTACATTATCTAAGAGAGTGCATAACACAAATTAACTCACTTTTATGTCACAAAGTCTCCAATGAAGAAAGCTGTGGATTGAACTCTGCTAGAAAAAGAGCCAGAAAGAACTCAAACACACTGTCAAACGAAAATACCACATATAGGACACACATGTATGTATGACATATGTCTTCAGGTTCAAAACAGGACATGCAGTCAATGATAGGTGTGCCCATGAAGGCTTTGGCTTCTTGTACACACAATGCTGGGGACTCAAAAACAGATGTACACATACCTGTTCACATCTAGAAATTTTAAAAATACACTCAGTCATGTATTCATTGCAGATTTTTATATTGGCAATGATGAAATACACTTGCTTGTGGTCTTTTCACACATCTTAAATGTATGTAATGTTATGTGTTGTCAAAGTTTTAGTATGTGGGCTGATGGTTACTCAACTTATTCTTTTGATTTCCAGAAGTGGCAATTCATACAAGAAGGAATCATGTCAGCTGCATTATTCACAGAGTGCACTGTCAGCATTTAATGGTATGTACTGAACTCAGAAAACAGCTGGTTTAGAAGTCTTAGGGCTCGATGATACTAAGTCCCCTGCATTTCCAGTTCTTCCTTACTGTACGTTTTCTATTTCCTACTTGATTGTTAGGACATATTTGTTAAGGCCTTTGAAACACATCTCATCCTTTGTTTTAATACATGTAAAATATTTAGCAAAGTTTTATAACCATAGAGATTAAAAAAAAGTCTGGTTGTTGAACTAAAGTCTCTGTCCCAACAGCTTAAAATAAATTATTTCTGAGCTATTAAGCGCAGAGAACAGAAACCTTCTTCTTGTGTTGTTGGTGTGTGGAGGAGAACTATCATCCTCCATTCGCTACACACACACATCATCCACTGTGACAAAGACTGAAGCGTCCACCCTGATAGTTACAGGATTTGAGTTTGACTTTCTTCCTGAGTGAGAGCCCTTCCTGTGTAATTTGGATAAGTTCAGCATGCCAATTTCACTGAAGTAGTGTGTTCTATATTCAAAGTGTAGGAAAGAAATTGAAGTTGAAGATATATTGGATCTCTGATTGTTCTTAAACAAGAAATGTCAAATGTGTCCCAGAATACACTTTGTTAATACAAAAAGAACAATACAGTTAAGCATTAAAACACTGATTTTAAGAATTTACCAAAGAAAGTTAGATCATTATTTAATCATGGCATAATGAATTTGTAGCAACCACAATAATTTGACCATTAAAGTTAGAATAAAATAACATGAAAATACCTCCCCCTGTTCTTTGAAGCATCCCTTCAAATTATCACAGACACACCTCTAAGACATTAAACAACCACTAGGTATAGGATGCTAGACTAGATTTTAAGAGATGCCATTACAAAAAACATTTTACTTACAGATGTGCTGTTATATATAATATATATGCAGTAATGTACCTTTACATATACCACTTCTCAGGAGGAATGTATATAAGATGGAGGGGAGGTAAAATTTTGGCCAAACAGATGACACAATGACACATTGGACTTGAGAAGTCAACAAGGAGTTTATGTGACTAGATGCTACAAGTGAGAAAACATATGCTACTTGGTGCAAAGCTGTTTGTTGAGAGTTTCCTTTTATTGTCAAAATAGCTTTCAACAGTTAAAAAGATAAGGGACTTAAAGAACTTTGGTAGATAGGCAATAATATTTTTTAAATTCATATACAAACTACACATATTTATAAATTCTGGGATATTTATACAAGATGTACACATTGTTGTTCAAATCAGCATATCTATCTCTACAAGCATTTATCGTTTGGTAGAAATATTTAAAATCCTTTCTTAGCCCTCTAAAATATGCAGTACATTATTGGTTGCTAAAGTCACCCCCACTGTGCCCCAGGACATCAGAGGCACTTGGATCAAACTGTCACTTTCCCATTGGCCAATCTTTCCCATCCTTCTCTCCCACAAACTGGTCCCAGTCTCGTTGGAAACACCATTCTGCTCTCCAGTTCTATGAAACAAACTTTGTTGCTTCTAAACATGAGTGGGATTAGTATGTGTTCCTTATCTTCATTATTGTCCAGTTCCATCTACGTTACTTGAAAAGACTGGACTTCATCCTCTTTGGAGTTGACTACTAACTATTCCACTGTGATTTTTTAAAAAATAGATGCTTACTTATTTGTAATAGCCAGAACCTGGAAACAACCTAGATGCTCTTCAGCCAAAGAATGGATAAAGAAAATATGGAAACTGAGGAGGAGTAGAAGGGAAGGGGGGTAGATGGGAGTCAGGGGAGGGAACAGGAGAAGAGGGAGGGGAAAGTGGTCAGTATGTAAAATAAATGAAAAATGTTAATTAAAATAAAAATTTAGAAAATAGATGGTTACTCATGGTTTTGTTCAGAAATTTAAAACTTAGAAAGTACTGTTGGTAAATATAACTGGGTATACAGAGCTTGCAAAGGCATCAATAGAACAATTCTTTGGGCCAAATAAAAAGCAAAATCTCAGAAATATTATGTATTTATAGGCATACACTTAGAAACTCACATTTCCACATAATAAAGGCTTTTAGAATACCTGGAACATCAGACCCCAGCAGACTTTCCTCTTCTCTCTATTTTAGCTTTTGTCCATCCCTATCTTGTTCCTCCTCCACTGCCAAGCACATGCCTGACTGTTTATCACAACCATGAGGACAGCAAGTCTAGTCTGGGCTCACTCCTCTCTCCCTCCTGGGTGCCCTAGCCAGAGGTTGATCTTGGTGCTGCTCTGCAGCCCTGGCTTAGTTCTGCCTGAGACATTTGTTTCTCTGTAAAGAAGAGGCACCAGGGGAATTAGTAACAGGATGGAAGAATGCACCATTTCCCAAGTGGGCAGCGGGATAATCCAGCAAAAACAAAGACTCTGAAAGCAGAAGGCATGGAGTAAGGCGGTGAATGAAGACAGCAAAGAAATTCCTCAAACACAAATAGTCAAAGTAATTTGAGTTATGGAAAGAGCATAATAGTTTTTAGGAGAAAATCTCCATGTCAAAGGTGAATGTGGCTAGAGATAAACAATGAAGAGGGAGGAAATAAAGATAAATTAAATGGGATTTTGTCAGAGTAACTCAGTAACTTCTTTGTTGATATTTTGGTAATTCAATCTCTTGAGCCCTCAGGTTGATGCTAAGATATTTAAAATGGTTCTTTTGAAGGACAAATTCTCCTAATTATCTATCACCCAAATGATCAGAACAACAGCCACACCATCTAAATCTCTAGTAATACTTCACATGTGGGTGGTCTGGGGATACACGGGACTCTGCGCACTAGTTATCTTCATTTATGAAGTGCTGCCCTGAATTAAAATAGCAAAGAACCAACACGGGCATATTCTGTCACCAAATTTCCTTGACTTGTTTTTAACCTCTTACAGGCAAACCTGCCAATCCCCTCCTAGGGCTCTATTTAGAACCTTATCTAATCAGTCTCCACACCTCCATCTTCCTCCCTTAATGCATTTTCTATAATGTATGAACAGAGACAAGATTTTTTTACAGGCAAATGCAATCAGGTCATTTCCCTTTTGCAGACCTTGCCATAAATTTTCATTGCTATTTGGATAAAGGTCACAAATCTTCCTATGGACAACAGATCCTTCACAGTCTAGGCACCTCTCTCCTTCTCTGGACCGGGAGCAGGGCTGCCACATACTTGCCTTCTGTCTCCGGTAAGCTCCACTGTCTCTTTGGTCCTTGAGATGTAGTGTGCTTCTCTAGCCACAGTGTCTTTGTATGTGCTCCTCCCTCCACTTCAAGTACTTCTCTTCTTGAGTTTTGTTTCTTTTTAATTCCTGTAGATATTTCCTACCTCAGTCTCCACGTGACTTCCTTAGAGAACCCTAGGCCTACACTGATCAGAACAAATTTCCTGTTTTTGTTTTTCAGAAATGTGCCTTTCTTTCATAACACCATACTAGCTGTCACCTTTTTTCTCTTAGTAAATCGCTAGACACAAGTTCTAATGTGTCCTAAAGGCCAGCATAGGAGCTGCCTTTCAGTAGGTTTCTGGTGGTCATCTGAATTATTTAAATAAAGTATAAAATGAACATTTAGAATATACTCCCAATTATGAACTAGGCATCTAAAATTTATTTCCTGGTTTGTGTTACTGGTGACTTTTAACTGATGATTTTTTTCTATAAATGGTGGTATTCCTTGAGCAAGCTTTTCCTCAGCTGTCCCTCTGTATGCACACATGAGTACTCACTCAGCTATGCCATGTTCTCACAGCAGGGCTGTGTGTACTCATTCACACCATGTTCTCACAGCAGGGCTGTGTGTACTCATTCACACCATGTTCTCACAGCAGAATGTGTACACTCATTCACACCACGTTCTCACAGCAGGGCTATGTGTACTCATTCACACCATGTTCTCACAGCAGGGCTATGTGTACTCATTCACACCACATTCTCACAGCAGGGCTATGTGTACTCATTCACAGAACGTTCTCACAGCAGGGATATGTGTAGTCAGCCACACTAGGCCATGTTCTTCCTCAGTAGCCTCCATTGGCACACATGTATATTCAGTCACACCATGCCATGTTCTCATAGCAGGTGCTATATAGCAAGATTTGTTAAAAGTGGATTTCCCCATTAAATGAAGTTTTAAAATAAAACATATGACCTTATATGCCTATTGTTTATTTTTTTATGGATAGAAAGAAATTCTTCTTAAAGGGGTGAGTTTTCTTTGGTGAGTTTTAAAAATCTTCAAATTTAGCCACAATCTTGATTAAAATGTCAACAATATTTTTTAATAGATAATATATACCTGCTGTGGGATGGTCTGTATGTCAAATTGCTCTGATTGGTCAATAAATAAAACACTGATTGGCCAGTGGCTAGGCAGAAAGTATAGGCGGGACTAACAGAGAGGAGAAAAGAAAGAACAGGAAGGCAGAAGGAGTCACTGCCAGCCTCCACCATGACAAACAGCATGTGAAGATGCCGGTAAGCCACGAGCCATGTGGCAAGGTATAGATTTATAGAAATGGATTAATTTAAGCTATAAGAACAGTTAGCAAGAAGCCTGCCACGGCCATACAATTTGTAAGCAATATAAGTCTCTGTGTTTACTTGGTTGGGTCTGAGTGGCTGTGGGACTGGAGGGTGACAAAGATTTGTCCTGACTGTGGGTAAGGCAGGAAAACTCTAGCTACATATACCAACTTGAATGGCACATAATTTTAAAACAAGAATATAGGTATTGTTGAAAGAGTTTTTTGGTAACCTCTAACAATTATAGCTAGTACAAAATTGCATCAGAGCTATAGTAGTTCCTAGGCATATATGAATATTGAGCCTAACAAAAATCTCTGGCAGATCATGGCAGAACTACACACCAGCAAGCACACCGATGGTGTGGATCACACCTGATACTTTTCCAGGTTACTTCAACAGTGTGGGAGTCACCGCTTCCTCTGTAGCCCTTGTTCATTTCTCATAGCAGCATGGTGTGCAAGGAAGTGTAAATAGGTAGTGCTGAGATATGGGAAGTGTCATTATGGAAGTCCATCAAGGACATGAAGAGTACACACTTACTCAGTAAACAACCACCAAGAAGCAGAAACTCTGTTATAATTTCACCTCATTGTCCTTGTCATGACACATTTGACAATATAGTCAAAATAGTAGAGTCTTGGATCTCTCCATGTGGAATTCTAAATATTCGATTCACTAATCAATATATTCCCTGAAATAATACTGATATTTACCTACAATATAACATGTCTGAAATTAATTAATAAAATTATGAGAGGGTGTAAGTCTACTCATTTACAACAAGAGGTTCTGATCTGGAATATGGCGCAGGAAATTTGAGTTGAAAAGACAAAATGAGTATGGGTGAGTGCTACTCAGGATACTCACAGTGACCAAAAACGGGCCAGAGTTCCACTGCATCTGCTTCCTCTATGGCCTGAGGAGGCTCTCAGCATGTGAGAAAGTGGGGACAAGAAGAGCTCCAGAAGACTTACCACATCCCTGGGGTCGCCTTCCTTAGGGGTCAGGGTGACTGACATCAAAATGATTCCAAGGTCATGGTCGGGATAATGGGGATCTTTCAGAGTCAAGGTCACATCTGTGTTCCTGTGATATAAAATATTTAGATTGGTAACAGTCACTGAGTGCATAACCCCAAAAGTATCTTAATTGATAATTCATTATTTTAAATGTTTTTTACTCTTTTGATTTCTTAGTACATTTTTTGTTATTATCAAAATACCACCATTGTATTAAATCATCCAAGAAGCTGCATGTCCGTGGAGGTGTTTGAATTCATTGGGTAAATTTCTTCACTTTCTGAGGTTCTAGAAGGTTGATGAAAGCAACAAACTATTCAAAAATCTATGAACCTCCTTTCTATGATCTGTAAGCTCACAGGGAGAAGTCCAGTTCTTTTCTATACACTTAAGCCCAGCAACTGGATGGAGGTCATTTGTCAGCCACAACTTTTACTTGTGTAGCTTTTTATTTAAGCAGGGGTAATTATTTAAAATAAACAGAAAGGTGTGAGGAGAGGAAGCTTATAAAATATAACTTGATTCACATATTTTATACATATATTTTAAGGCAACATATAATTATTTAAAAGAACAGCAGATATTTAAAATAATGCTTGTAGTTTGGAGATGTGCAAACTTATGCCCAAAACAATTTCTCAATTCAAAATAACATAGAAATATTACTTATAATTGGACAATGGAGAATTTATACTTAGATTTGGATTTGGGTAAGCATTCCTGAGGAAGAGAGGATGAATAATTTAGTATTATACACAATCACTTCTAAGAAATAAAGAAAATAGGGCTGGAGGGATAGCTCAGCCGTTAAAGGCTAGGCTCACAACCAAAAATATAAGAAATAAAGAAAATAGACATTTAACTGAGACTGCATAGGTAACATCTTGTTTACCAATTTTAATTAATACTGAACAGACAGGGCTCATGAACTACCACAAACCAGTTTCTGTAGAACATGGAACACCAAACAAAAGAAACATAGGATGCTTGGCAATAAAACATCTTTTCTCATTCATCCAGTTGTTTGTTGCATTCACAAAGAGAGCAGTGAGTACACATTGAATATCTCACAGTGTTCTGGTTTCTGGTAAAAGCTAGAGAACAAAACCAAGGGGACCCCTGTGTCCACAGAACTTTAATTTTTGTATAGTTTAGTTCTGGTATGGTGAATAGACATTGAGATTAAAAATGTCCCAAGTAAAAAATTCAGTCCTATCTGCCGATCAGTTTTCACTGCTCTGTTTTGTGTGGGTGTATGTGAGTTTATTCTTGAAATTCACCTCTGAAGAATCTGTGGATGAGGGACAGGGGTTAGAACTGGGTAAGGGGAGGGTATTAGAAGTCTATATATTTCTAAAGTGCCCTGCCAAATGATTTTCTCACACACCCAGAATTAAAGAACAGACAATTTTTAATGCTAACATTATGATACCAGAAATTTTATCACATGATGTTTAATACATTAAGGTGTGATATGTGAAAATGTGAACTATTTTGTGATGTCAGAGGTTTAATTGAATCATATGCAATCTGTCTGCAAATTGTTTTCAACATTAATTTAGCTATCAGTAATCATTATAATTTGATAGCAAAAAGTGGTCTTTATTGTTTATTTATGTATATATGTACATGTATGTACATATATGTGGTTGTTCGCATGTGTATCAGCATGGTAGAGCTGGTGCTAGAATACAATTGTGAATGTAGTAGTGGCCAGGGGTTGATGTTAGGTATCGTCCTCAATCACTTCCACCTTAAATTTTTGAGCCAAGGTCTCTAATTGGACCACCAGGGAGACTTTTCACCAATTTGTTTAGGCTGGCCTGCCAATGGGCTCCAGGAATCTACCTGTTTCTGGCTCTCCAGTGCTGGGATTATAGTTGTGTATCACTGTGCCAAACTTGTTTCATGGATTATAGAGGTCAAAACTCATGTATTTATGCTAGTACAAGCATTTTACTGCCTAAGCTGTATCCCAATATCAACTTATCTTTCTAAACAAATGTGTATTTGGCATTGTAGTGTAAGTATGCAATATATACATATTTGTGGTTACAATTTGATTGTGTCCCTTTTCATATAGGGAATACATATAAAATTAATTAAATTTTTCCTTAATGCTGGAGTGATCGCAATTCCAGATCTTAAGATACATTACAGAGCCATAATAATAAATAAGATATGGTACTGCCACCCAAACAGATATGTAGATCAATGGAACAAAATTGAAGACCTAAACATGAGCACATATAAATTTAGTCACTTCATAATGACAAAGATGCCAAATGCATACACTGGAGAAAAGAAAGTTTCTTCAAGAAATGGTGCTGGGAAATTGGATGTCCACATGCAGAAGAATGAAACTAGATCTGTATCTATCACCTTGCACAACAACTAACTCCAAATGCACCAAAGACCTAAACGTGGAGCCTGAAACACTGAAATGGCTAGAAGAATGCATGGACAGAACCCTACATGATGTAGGTGTAGGAAAAGACTTTGTGAATAAAACTCCGTGTGCCAAGAATTAGGGTCAACAAGTGACAAGTGGAACCTCATGAAACTAAAAAAGTTTCCTCATGGTTAAAAACATCAATATATCAAATGAATAGAAAGCTCACAAAATGGGAGAGCCTTTGCCAGTTATACATCTGATAGAAGACTAATATTCAGCATATACAAAGAACTCAAAAGCCAAGAGTCAAAAATGACACATTAGAAAAATAGGTCTGGGACCTGAATAGAATTTTCAAAAGAAGAAGTAAATAAATGGCTAAGAAATATCTCCCAAATGTTCATCATCCCCAGCAATTAGGGAAATGCACATCCAAACAGCTTTGAAATTTCATTTTATCCCACTCAGAATGGCAAAAATCAGTGGAACAACCAATAAAAAATGCTACTGGGATTTGGGGAAAGGGAAGCCCATTCATTGTTGATGAGGCTGTAAGTTGATGCAGCCACTATGAAAATCAGTGGTGACAGTTCTCAAAAAGCTAAGAAATAAATCTACCACACAACCCAGCTATACAACTCCTAGGCATATGTCCAAAGCACGTGACATTCTACTATGAAGACTCTTGCTCAGCCATATTCATTGTTCAATTCACTATAGCCAGAAAATGGAAACAACCTAAATGCCCTACAATCAACAAATGGATAATGAAAATGCAGTACAAAACACTATTAAATGCTGTTCAGCTGTAAACAAATATGAAATCATGAATGTCACAGGTAAGTGGGGAAAACTGGAAAAGATCACATTGAGTGAGGTAACCCATACCCAGAAAGAAAAATATCATGTTTTTTTTTTTTTTTAATTGGAGGCCTCATCTCCAAATCTTCTAATGTGAGTACATAGCCTATAGTAACTACAGAAACTATGAAATTAAAACAGAATCATTGCTAGGATAGGTGTGTGGCTGGGGATCAATAGGGAGAGAAAAAGCAGAGTACAATTGATCTAATCAGGAAAATGGGAAGGGAGAAGCTCTTTAGGGAAGAGGGAGGGAGGTAAATACAGAAGAAGGTAGGAAGTGGATAAAGGGAATGACATGATACAAATGTTCTGAAAGGGAAAATGGGAAAAGTGAGGACTCTTTAGGGAAGTAAATACAGAAAAAAGAGGGAAGTGGGTAAAAATACAATAAAGATTCTGAAAAAGCCACCAGGAATGATACTGTTAACTATTCTCAAAAAATTCTATAATACGTATACTTTCTTGTATTTATTGTTTTAATGAATTTTTCTCACTTGGGCTGATGGTGATTCCTCCAAGAACCAAATGCCACCTAACAAACCACAACACCAGACACCAGAGCCCTCTTTTGAGTTGTTGGCCAGGGCTGCACAAGAGACTACCCAAACATACAGCCTGTGGCTTTGCCCTTGGTTTCCCCCAAGAGGTGGAAGGCTGAGTCCTTACTGCTGAAGACACCATGAAGTGTTGAAAACCAACAGTCCCACCTACATCTACCCATGAGCCAGAGCAGCAGCTATGATAGCACAGTGAGCCCAAGTGTGCTGCAGTGGCAGGTATACCTTGGTGGACCAATAGCTCTCTGACTGGAACTAAGATTCATTCAACAATAGGAAGACTACGCCTGGTACTGAACACCTAGCTAACCACTCAGTGCTAGTGAGTCCTTGTTATTAGAGGGCATCTACAACCCCTAATTTACTAAACCAGCGTAATCCCCAATAATCTTTAAACATTTGCTCTTATACCCACAGATAATTGTAGTCTCCACCCTCATTAAGAAAAACTCCCTCTGGAACAGACCTCCATCTGCAGAACCACAACCAATAAAAATACAGAGTCTAGAGCCCAGTCTCAATGGATACATGCACAAAATACTCCTACACCTAAGGCTCAAGAAACATTGTGGAAAGAAATGGAAAAATTTTAACAGCCTGACTATCAGAGAGCTGGTTGTGAGATGGAGTCTCTTAGCAACATCAGAAGCTACACCTGTAACTTCTCACCAACATGATTACCCAAATGTGCTCCGAACAAGGATGACACCAGTAACATGCCAAGCTGGACAGAGAAAGCCTACAAGGCATCAACCCTACACAAAGAACTGTAGGTGCAAACAAGGAAAGCTGGAAGCAGCAGATGTGGCCTGCTCCAAGAAAGAACACACCAACTGGTTGTCCAGTGTCAAATAGTCAGCACTGAAAACATGCATACAGGTAGCATTATACAGACTGCACATAAGGAACATATATGTATACATACTAGTACGTACATGCACGCACTAACAATTAATAAAATAGAAGTCATGAATTTGAAGGAAAGTGGAAGAGGTATATAAGGCAGCTGAGCGGAAGGAAAAGGAAGGTGAAATGTTTAAATTATAATCTCAAAAACTTAAAAAAAAACATGTTTTTAGAACCACTTTAAAGAGATTTCAGAACATTTTTAGCTGCTTTATGAGATTCTTATTATTTTCTTTCATTTCAGAAACATTTATGTCAAGCCCAGCATGGTGACGCATGGCTTTAATCTCAGCATTCAGGAGGCAGAGGCAGGCGGATCTCTGTGAGTTGGAGCGAGATCCAGGA